AGGTGAGTCTCTCGAAAGAACCAAATTAGTTTGCAAATGAGTGTATATTCGCTAAACAAACAAGTTCTTCTTCGTGATCGAAAACAGCACATATTGGCGATATTCCTCAAATAAACGTCCAAACTAAACCGAACAGCTCTTTTTTCACACTAGTCCCATAAGATTCGGGTTGTAAATGAGAGCTCTGGGTAATTTCCTATTAATGTTTAGGAAAAAACATCCTAACCCTGACAAAGGAGTTCGTATCAACAAAGACCGGAATATGAAATTCTCACAACAGACTTACAAGCACTTTAGTATCAGTGAGGTACCTGAAACCGCAAGAAGAAAAATAGTTTTTATCTACACAACTTGGGACCTAATATCATGTTCCTTATCTTCGTGGCACATGGCTACCGTAGCATCTTCCTTTTATAAAGAGCGCCTCTTAGACCACATGTGCATGGTCTCCTGTGATTTTCTGAAGAGCGGACATAGTACTTCAAAAGATCATCGGTAATCAGACCTTGTAGGCGTTCTTTAAGCAGCGAACAGTGCCATGATTTCTCGTGCTGTGTAGATTACATAAAATGACGGATCACATTTGGCCTGTTTGGAAATTTACGCCCTTGTATTTGCGTACACCTTACACTTCAGAAGACTGAAAGGATATACGATGGAGAGAAGCTGACTGATAAAGTGTCCTTCCCGGGAGAGATTTGAGTGACATTTGGTGGTCATTCTCGGTGATGGTAACCATGGAAGAAAATTCGCATACAACATGCAAAACTTCGTCCAGGGTTTGAGGCCTTTTCAACCTCTGTATCAAACCGGCATTCAACGATTTCTGGCCTCCCTATTTAGACGGTGAAATCAGCCCGGTTAGGGGTAGCCAAGTCCTACAGTCTCTGATAACTCAAGTTATCCAGAAGTCAATACAAGAGGCTTGTTCGTGGCATGAGTGGATCTAGGAATTTGCAACTGAGATTTCCTCCTGTGAGTGAAGCCACTCTATGCTGAAAAACCGAGAACCAATGCAGAGTTGATTCATTTTTATTCCGAATAACTAGGGAGATTCAAGTTCGTGGTCTACCAGCCAGTATTTAACGACTAAACCGTCTGAACACGAACGGCAGGTCGACCGTTTATATAACTTGGAAGAACGCTCCATGATGAACTCTTCCTTTGAACGAATTAAATGTCTACATATCTTTTGAACATCCAAATTTGAGGTTTCAACCACCCGAGGTACCACCGAGCATAAATCCTGTCTCAGAAGGGATGCATTTCTAGTTAGCATCTGTAAAGTAGATGTCTTTCAGTAGCATTTACCAAAATGTTGGCATATTGCTTGTAAACAATACATGGAGTTTCTATTAAATAATTTATAGTGTATTTCAGGTGTGGAAAAGGACCGTTGTGACACCTACGCACTGGATTTAATGTTCTTTTGTATTGCATCATTGTTTGCCTCTATGATTTGCTACCCTACAGGCAAGAATATCTCTTCCATGTGTGTGATTTTTTCGGTAGAAGTGCTGAAGCTTTGATAAGTTTGTTTTTCAAGTAGCATGTGCAACTTTTTCACCCTAGTAAGCGTCACCAGAAGTGTGTATTTGAAAAAACCCAGAGAGTTCCAAACCCTAGACATTTCGGCCAGGTTTCTGAACACCCAGCCGTTTGACCACGAACGGCTAATCAGCACTCGTCCAGACAGAATATAGGGCAATCAGGGAATTCACATCACATTATCACTCGTTGTTTGATTGGACCCTCTAGTGACAAATTCTCGAACAGAAGTTTCACTCGTTGTGTAAATTTTTCTACCCTCCAGCACATAGATTGTTGTGCGAGGAAATTTGTGATTTCTCCTTCGTCTTTACTTAAAATTAGAGAATGAAAGTAAAGCGTACTGTCCAACCAATCAAGATAGTATAATGCTAGTCTTTATAACAAAACTCAACCATCATACAGACAGTAAGATTTAACAATAGGGTACCATGGTCTTGATGGAGCACCGTAATCATAGGAACTCTGAGAACCCCCGCCGACTGTTTGGGGTAGTCCCTGAGGTTCTCTCAATCTTGTGTTCTACTACACAACCGATGATCTAAATTAATTTGCAAGCCAGTTTGTTGTTAACGAAATTAATCTGTGAAAACCTTGGCTAGGAATAGTGCACCACACTGAAACACAAACTTTGTCGATTTTCTTTGATACGCAAGGGTTAATTCCCACCACACATGATCCCCTTTGAGGATTATCATTTAAGTGCAATTAGATGGTGCAACAACTAGGTGTGTAGTAGTCAGTGGAGTGACTAGAACTTTTGAGCACGATCACCATAATGCTTTGGTATTAACAAAACAAGGATAAACAAGATCTTGAGAGCTAAAGTGAGCTTCCGAATGAGGAGAAACACCAGCACAATCTGTTCTTAGAACAATGAGGGAAGCTCGCATTATCATTACGCGGAATTCGTATAAGACGCCGCATAGGAGTGCCACCGCTCCTTCGGGAGGCATCACTTAAGGGTCTCTTCTAACTGGACAGTAGTTACCCTCCTTGGGACTTTAAAAATGGTCAGCCTAACGAAACTGTTTCTTAAAACGACACACTGCGCTAAGAAATACGTACTTCGCTCGTACCGATCTGTCGAAGTTTTGCAGTCAACACGCAAGTCCAACTCTCCACTACCCGAATTCGGCTCAAAATCTTGCGGTGAGCGTATCGTGCCCATTAATTTGTTGCGAAACGTAAACCGACAGCCTTGCGTTGAAAGTCTGCGACACAGTGTATCCACAGAATTGCTGACTGTGTGTCTCCAAGACCTTCCCTGATAGGCAAATTGAACTGCATGCGGCTAGACACGGGTTTTGTCCGAAAATGAGGCTTTTTTCTATTGCTCGAGTTCCCCGGTCACGAGCTCATTTTCATAGGCTCACAAAGTCGCAGGTTTCGCCACAGCCAATGTTCTCATATGTAGAGGAATGTGGAGAGTGATATTAATATTGACAGCTAACTAGATGAACCCGAGAAGTTCTGATAACAGGCTTTATTCGGTTTGGGTCTCAAGAGCAAGCGATACTATGAAGTAAGTTACCATAATGAGGTGTTGTGGTGCGTTGTTCATGCCGTAATGCAGCCCCTGATAGGTGAGTGTGGAGGATGTATGAATCTAGCTCGTATGTTCTCTAAACTGTCACCACCGTCCACCTCAGTCGATTGGTTTCGACTCACAAATTGCTAGTGACATTTCCAAGGTTTTTAGTTGCGCAATTCAACGCCAATGTAGCGAGCGTTGGTTCACTTAATTTGTACAGTATCTTACACTGTCAGCACATACAACATGAGGATGACATGGGAACACGGAGCGTCGTTTCTCACAGTATTTTCATGTCAAAATGCCTCTGTTTCTCTCGCTCTCTTTGTAAAATTGATAAGCTCGACTTGACATTGAGTCATGGTAGAATTGGAATCACTAAGTCCCCTTTGTCAATTTCATCCGGACAGCAAGAATACATGATTCGCGAGACGTCAACCTTTTTTCAAACCTTTTTTCTCTCACAATTTGTAGGTGCAAAACACGCTACCTGAGAGACAGACAGCAAATGTTTTACAACGGTTGATAAATCTAGGGTCATTTTCACCCGTTTTTTCACTTGTGATTTCTGGGCACTGAAGGCTGATAATCTACTGTCGCCTACTGTTTGCTCCCCAAATACTGGCAGAAAGATAAGGGATGAAAATCAAGTTACTTGTTTCAATGTTGCGCGGTCAATGAACCCGGAGACCTTGTGACTGACCCTAATGGGGGTGATTGCATCCCTTCGACCCTTAACAGACATTTGGAGGGCAAACCGCTAATCTGCAAGAGTCCCTGGTTTGACCGGCATAGGTTTAAAAGCAGCTACCTGTGAGGCGAATGGACCGGACGAACTCGGACAACTATGTTAGAGCATGATCTTCTTGACCTGTGACCTCTGTTTCTAGGCTGATACAAACTTATGACAGGTGTTTCTTTCTTGTCACCTTTGAGTGGGAAGCAGATCTTGGGATTTTTGTCCGTTCAGCTTAGGGTTACGGCGACATATTCAGCAGCGAATGACTGGACGCCTCACAATGAACTATTGTTTTGTGTGGACCCACTGGTCACTCTTGATGTGTCGTGGAACTGCCCATTGTTTATAGAACGCGATAAAGAGAAGACAGACAACCAAGAAAACGGCTGTATTGTCGGGTCGGGTCAGAGTTAGTGAGTAAATGTATATGGTGGTTGAATGACCAAATATGACCACTTTTTTGTTCGTTCTTGTCTAACCAATGGCGAAGCACCTGCCACGAGAGTTAGTGAGTAAATGTATATGGTGGTTGAATGACCAAATATGACCACTTTTTTGTTCGTTCTTGTCTAACCAATGGCGAAGCACCTGCCACGACCAATTTCATACCCGCTCCGCTGGTCGCATGCTACCAAGCCATGTTTGGTAAGCTCCGCCCGCGCACCTGCTATCCGAGACGTGTGGTGGCCGGTGATGTGCTGTTCTGTGTACATGAATTTTCGTGTCTGGATGCGCCCTGAGAAGTCTCATGAGATTCTGACGGAATATTATCCAAATACATTCACTTGCATACCCATTTAGTTTCGACAAAAGACTCACCTGGAACCCCGCTGAATCTCTCGTTTATGATTTTTTCAAGCAACTAAATGTCATGTACCAGAGCGCCTCAGGTTTCAGTTTCTACAACATTCAGGATATCGAAATACATAGCGTAATACACTACTCATAAGTTTGCTGTCGAAGTGCATTCATAACCTTATGAGCAACCTTATGAGTAGTTCCTTATATTGCTTTTACCACAAATTAGATATAACAGCAAGTCACAATATAAACTATTACAGTATTTTTTGCGTTTTCATTTCTTCTCCCATTCACAGGGACGAAGAAATCGAAGAAATCTTCCGTCAAATCGATAAAAACAAAAATGGAAAAATCGACAAGCGAGAATTGCAAGCTTTCTTCAAAAAACATGATAAAAAATTCACTGCCAAACAGGTAACAGACTACATTAAAAAGTGGGACGGAGATAACGATGGACAACTGACCCTGGATGACTTGAAAAAAGGATTATGCGATTCTTAAACTTTTCGTTAACAGGAGAAGAATCTGTCATGGTGGTCCATGTAAAGCCACTCTACAATATTATATGTTCCCGCTAAATTGTATTATGTCCTACTTCAAACTGCAAAAATGCATATATCTACGAGAAGATATCCGCAAAAAATTTCATCTGTGTATTCGTATATGATTGGGCTGTTTAAATTAGAGAACAACATGTACTCAGTAATATATAAAGCGTAACGCGCAGTGCACGGACTGATTCCATTCGGCCTGAATGTGTCTTTTTGACATTAGATTTCGAACAGTCTTCTTCCATCCCTTGAACCAGGCAAACTTGAGACTGTTCGCAGAACGCCTGGAAGACGATAGATGACAAATCTAACCAGTGCTGTCCTACCCAACCTTTCTGATGAGAAACTAATGTGGGGAGAGTGTAAAAGCGGTAGGGCAAAGTCACCCCCAGATTGGTCGCATATCATGGTCAAACTGAATGAGTGATTGCAAAACATGTTCAACCAGATTAGAGCAATGCGATCACATCGAGTGAACTCGGGAAAGCGGAACAGCCACAAGGTGAAGTCCAGCTGAAGCGCTTACTGTCACTGATATCCTATTTCAATCAGAATACGCACGTAGATCATCGGAAACTTGTGGGGCCATTCACCGCCTGTCAGGATGCATTTATGAGCAGTAGTTGAGGTCTGAATAAGGGCGTCTCTACGCCAGGGTCATTCATCTCTTTGATTTATCTCACGACGTTAATGCTGTATCTTGTTTTCCAGTCGTGTGGACTTAAAACAAGAAATCCAAGTACAAGCAACAGGAAGGAAAATGGCAGGTCTGGGGACGAACTGGGATCACAGATGTTTAGCTCACCGCCAGATGAGCTAACGAGAATGTTCGCTTATATATTCAAAACCCACAGCCAGTTCACTATACCTCTGCATATTGGACCAGCATTTGATAACTGCCAGTGGCCATAGGGAGCCCCTTGTATGACTACTGCAAGGGGTATAGGGTAATACCATCAGATACTTAGTGAGCGTTTGTCTGGTACAAGCCTCCTTTTACTATGCTTCACTAGTTCCCAACCATGAGATTCGAGTCTTCTATGATTCCGCGGTGCCTTCGTCGGATGTTTGTGAAGCAGCCCGTCGCTTTGTTCTGTTGGAAATACTTTTTATGGAGAAGCGAACAGTACGGCGCACAGAACATCGGAACAAACAGCGTATTTGGTGAGGTTGACCGGATAATTAGCTTTAGGTTAAGGATAAACTACATCGCCTTTGTTGTGCTGTTTAGCCAGATTAGTTCCACTCAGCTGTGACACACGTTCAAATCTATCAACATACTACCGGAATTAAATCGGGATTTTTTCAACCACACTCAGTTCAGGATTCTACTGAGTTGAGAATGTTTAGCACGTGGTCCTAATTACATAACACTGGATTGGCTATCAGAAGAGCTAACGTGGAAACTCTGCTCCAGACTCAACGAGTCTCAAGTTGTACCTCAGTGCGCCATATGATATATTTTCAGCTGATGAGGAAAAAATGCTATAACAGAAGACCTTTAGGCTGATCTCCACAAGTGGAGGTTGAAATTTATTGCATGCGCCTCTTCTCGACTTGACTCGAGACCATGAAAACACCCAAAATTAGATTCCCAAACTATTTTTGCTCGAAAGTTGAACATAGCGGAAACTCTAGTGAATGCGGGCCACTTCTGCCACTACTGCTAAACCGTTTAGCTGCTTTGTGCCAAGCTGTCATGCCACCTGAAAGAAGCACAAGGTATGAGATACTGTCAGGTCGCCCAGCCTGAAAATGGGTGGTCGGATTCAAACCACCAGTTTTCATTTTTGCGTTTTAACCAACGATCTATCTCGAGTTACTACCGATTAACTGAAGGCATTGTTAAAAGCAGTAAATGATCAATGGGTCGCTTTGAAGCGAACATCCTACTACACACATAATAGCCGGATGCATCACGATCACTCTCAGCATGATTATGAGCCAGTACATTTGTACTAATTTATGGTAAGCCGTCTTTCTGGAAGTGAGGACGTGAATCACTCAACATTTACAAATCTTACGTTATCCAGCCACAGTAAGCGGTACACTCAGACTGAGGTGGACAGGTGAGGATGGATACGCTGTCAGGTTATGAACGATTGTCTGGCACATGCCACAAGGTTGCTGATACCCCCAAAGATGTGGGTGCTGAGGAATCGTTTTCCCGTCTCATTAGAGTGTTTGACAATTCAGTGGCTACGTTTTCGAGGAAAACGCCGGTATAAATCTGCCTATTAGGATTTTGAAAGATATGACGTTGCCACGTACGAAAACTATCCATTTTGAATTGAGAAGTTACTCGCCTGGATGCGGTGTTTGGCCGTTTGCTGATCATGACACTATCACATTTTCCCCTCAGTTTTTGTCACAGAAGGGGTATGTTGTTGACATTTGTGTCATTACAACAAATGAACCTTATGTCGAGTTTCACAACACTCCACCCGTGCCAATCTACACGTTTCATGCACAGCATAATTGTCAAATTTTGTCAAAAGTCTCGGTCACCAACATAATTTACCAGCTCTATCGTAATCGTGGAGTCACTTACTTCTGTAAGACAAACTAGTGTCCATCTGAGCACGTGTCAGAGGATATCCACTTTATATCTTTTGGACATTAGCATAAATGCTTGCAAAAGTTCAAAGTACAAGCCACTATTTTGCGGCATTGGTTATCAGATCCTTACTGCGAGGTGATCCCCAGCTAGATCCCAAAAAACTGAATCCAAGGATTCTGCTGATTAGGAATGCTGTGTCAATTAAAGTTCTCAGCACAGCCTTGCGTGCGCAAACGCAAAATCTTTGGTTCCGGTGCATTTGATCAAGTTGACGTCTGCTTACATCCCCTTACAGCTGATGAGGGTAGATTAAATTTTATTAGAGTGCGGTGTTTGACTTCCACCTGTTCTGGAGCGATGCACGAAGAAGCATCCCATTGTTGGTAGTGTGAGGAGATTTGAGATTTTTGTGGAGATTACGTCCTATAAGTGGAGCCAATCTATGCTGAAGAGCTGAGAAGCACTGTACAGCTGTTTCATCCTTATTGGGAATCATCAGCATTGCGCATCTCACGAAACTCCGAAGAGTCCCGGATCCCGTGATTGAAGGATGAGCGGCGGTATATTCTGTCTAAGTGCGAGTTAATCACACTGCTGATCAGCCACTCGTGGCCGAACGGTTAAGGGTTCAAACTACTAGCCGGGAGGTCGCGGGTTCCAGACTC